ATATTCAGAGTGAAACTAAACTTAGCACAAAAAGTACAGAAATTTGTTTGGTAGATTATTTCTTTGTTGTAACAATTCTTCTTGGCAATAAATCTTATATTGTTGGAAAACCTGGTAAATTCCCTTTTAAATATGATGCCAAGGAACATGTGTTTGTGGGATGAGCAGTATAACCGAATATGTGGGTTGCACACATGAAAAAGTTGCCAAATCTTCACTGCCAAACAGCTTTTTTTGCTGTTGCTACTGACACTTGTTTTGAACTTCTGGAAGGTGCTGCCAATAAGGTAGATAAAATCTATTGCCAAGAAGCATTGGTACAACAAAGAAATAAACTACCAAACACAAATTTCTATACTTTTTTTGCTAAGTATAAATCTTATTAAATATTTGCTTAAAAATTTAGCATTAACAGTTTAAAGTCAACGCTGTCTGTCTGTCAGCAAAATAAGTTAACAGCTGAACTGATTTCATTAAAACTTTGAGGAACTAATTAGTAGACACAGACCTCTAAAATTAACTTATGGTGCCAACTCAGTTCAAAATTTCCATCACATCCAACTGACCTTAAAAAAACTGATCAGTGTCTGTGCTAACRTTTGATATGGTTGTAGCTGACAGTCATTCACAATATTTCCATTAAATCAAGGTTGAGCACACCTCATTTTAATGAATCGGTAATTACCAAGCTTCTGCAGAACTTGAAAAGGTAAYTYAATCACTGAATCAGGCGTGTTGGACCAGAGAAACAAGTAAAACAYGCAGGATWGTGTCCCTCGAGAACCAGGATCTGCTCCAAGTGCTGCATATTGGGTATTTATTTAAACTTTAATCAAACCTTTGAACTCAACCCCAWATGTCTGTTAAYGAAATATCTCATGAACCACTAGATGAGTTTTCATTACACATTCCAAAAGTCCTCATTAGATATACATTTAGAACTGACTAACTTTTAGTGCCAATCCAATTCAAGAAGGCCGCCACAGCTGATYGACATTAACCAACATAAAATGTCTATAATACTGTTAYTTTACAGATATTGTGYTATGATCAGTGTCTGTGCTTATAATTTATTCTAATTTTCTGTCTTCTTTGTTTTCTTCCTCCTGTCTGTCTTTGCTCCAGCCCCGCCCACTCACACCTGATCCTCATGTTTCTCCCCCAGGTGTTTCCTGTCTGTGCTCATTAGTTTCACCTTTATATTCTGTGCCTTGTCCTCACTTTCCTGTCTGATCATTGTGCTGCTCACAKCCTGAGATGGTTTCATGTTCATTGTACCTTGTCTTGCCACGCCACTCCAAATGAGAGTGTTTTGAGCTGCCCTGTCAGCATTTTTTTGTTTAATAAATCTTTTATTTTGCCTTTTTSAAGCTGCCTGCACCCTGGGTTATTTCCTGCCAACAAATCATAACWTATTTAACTAAAATTCAATGTAGTAGCAGCTGAGAGAGAATCACAACAACACAAACTCTGTGACATCCAAGGTAATTTTTCAAGATTTGACCAAAACAGCTATACCTCCGTCACTTCTTATCGTGACATTATGTTTATCTAAAACTCTGGCATGAAAGGTAGCAGGTAGTATGCATTAAGGAATGCTAGGCCCTGCAACAGCAACAGTTTCTAGCACGTTTAAATGTGGACTGCCCTGTACCAGGACAGTTTTTGCTCAAGGTAAAAGTAGATAAATGGAGGTACCTCAATGACAGAGAGCAGGATCTCTGGTGCAGAGGAGCCCAGGGCCATAAGTGTCAGATTAGACACAGTCTCGTTCCAGATTCGTACAGTTGTCACCGTGGTTTCACCGTCGGGTTTGGTGATGGTCACCTGTTTTTCCTGGTATAAATTCAGTATACGATGTTTACACAGAGCAGAGAAATCTTGTTATTCACGTGTTTGTATACATWAGCAGATAGGTAATCTGACACAGGTTATTGATAATAATGCATCTGTGATTTATGCAAGCACAGTAAACAGTGGTTCGCCATGCTGTCCTCCAATAAAACAGTCCTGGGTTTAACCTTCTGCTTGCAGTTTGCAGGTTTACTTTGTGTATGTATGGGTTARAGGTTAGCTAAACCTACACTGTTGAAGCTGAGTTAAAAATAATAAGAACTCCTGGACCTTCTGGATACAGTGGGTAAAATAAGTATTGAACACGTCAACATTTTTCTCAGTAAATAT